CTGAAAGAAAGAACTGCTGCTGCTCTACTTAGGTTTGTCTGCAATAGTGAGTGACGTTAGTAATTATTTTTCTATTTCTGAGCACACAGGAGACTTAGACCACCACTGCGGTTCTTACGAAATCTGTTTCTTTCCATTTATTCATTAGTAAATAGCTCATGAATGCTGATAAACATCTCTCAGCCATCTGATTCGCTACTTGTGAAATGGCTGTTTACATTGTTGAGACCCAGCCATTCCAACAATGTTATCATCCAAGTGCAAGCAGCCAGTGAATTTTTAGAGGCTGTCTCAGATGGGCCTATGTGGATGGGAGGCTGCTCTTATCCTCTGCTAATAAATGCTTCATCTTTGCTCGTAATTGTGGCAGAATGGAAATGGTGCTTAGGAGCCTGGCTGTGAGATTGCAGCAAATGGCTGCAACCTATGTTTAATGTAGTGATGCTAATGAATTCTGAGAATTAATTTTCGGCTAAGAAAGCATGATGGAAGATACTAGAATTTCCAATTAGATAATGGATTGACTTTTGTCAAGGCAAACATACAGTTTTTATTTCTTTTTCAGTCTCTACTTACTTAGCCTTTCTATTATTTTAGAGCCAAAAAATAGCAGACTAAATGTGATACTTTCATCATACTTTATTTGAAACCCATCTTGTAGTTGGTTTGCTTGTCAATTTGCTCAATTCAAACTAATGCACCACCCTTTTCTTTTCTTTTCTTTTTTTTTTTTTTTTTTAAATTTCCAGTCCCCAAACAATTTGGCTGAATTTGCAGGTGCAGCACATTTACTGGTTTTATGAATAATTGCAGTATGGTTGATGTTTGACAGTGCCTGAGCTAACTGTCCAAACTGGTCTTAAATGAATGCTCAGATGAGAAGCTGAAGATGTTTTGCCTCAGAAACTAATCCTTCATTAATAGGGCTTTTTACTGTTCTTTTTCACCTGTACAATGCACACACTGATTCCAGAATATTTTGTGATGAGTGAAATTGTAAAAGATGTTTTGTTACTGTATTCTTTCAAATGTTAACATTACTGAATATTTTATTACTTCCTAATTTCTTTTTTTCTGGCATATGTGTTAGATATATCTTCTCACTGAATTTACTGGCAATTTTGAACTCAGACACCCATATAATCAACTTTTCCACACATTATATTCTGTGTCAGAGTGTAGGTCAGTAGAAAACTTTGTGGTAATTCTCACCTTTGTGCAGGTTTTAGGATTGTAAGAGCTGATATAATATATATATATTTTTTTTTTTTTTTTTCTGAAGAGCATTATAGTGCCAATACTGCTTCCAGTAGGATGACGATGACACCTTATTGAATGCCTGCAATGACACCGTCAGTCTGGTGCATCATTTTTCATTAGCACTTAGGTAGTAGTGGCCCAAGAATTTTTATTTTACAGATGATGTTGACTAAGAGCAGCAGCAGCAGCAGGCATTCATGTTGCACTAAAAGCAACAGAGTTGAACTGACAGTGTGTAGAAGCAGAATATTAATAGGCCTTTTCTACATAGGGAGGAATAAGGACAAAGAATATGCACCGAGAAACATAAGGGCTATGTTTCCAGTGTCACATGACAGCTTTGCATCCTCCATTCCATCACAGCAAGCCTGGTGAGACATGAAATTGGCACTGAATATTTGAGTACAGACTGAGCCCTCAGTACCTCAGTGACTAAGCTGCAAGCTGTTTACTGCATTTGAAACATGGTAAGAAGTAATTTCTAGGAGTGGCTGCGTCAAAACTTCTGCTGTTTACAGGCAAAGGAGAGTGTGTGCCTTACACACCTCAATTCCCTATGGCCTACCTGGTCTTTTGGCTGCTGTGTTTTTAAAGTGCTAGGAACTTGCCATTTAACTTGATGGATTAAAGCAACTCCGGTGGAAATGTTTATTCTCCTGTCCGTCTTTTCCCTGAAGCTGAAGTACTCACGCACGAAGTTACAGACATGAATTTAAGCAGCTCTCCCTCACCCTTGCACAGCTGTTAGTTACTAACTCTGCTTTGTTGCGTCATCTCGTTAACCATCTGAAAGGACTGCTCTTCCGATGCAGGCACAAACTTGGCACAACAGGAGGTGTGCTCTTGTCTGGGCTTGGAACAGAGAGTTTGAACACAGACTCATGTTGATGTGTCTTGTGTCATTAACTAAGTCATCCTGCAATTTAATGAAGTTTTAGTTGTGTTTCAAGTGAAATCCTACGTGAACACAGACTGCAGCAATACCAGCATTTAGATGAAACAATGGATAAACATTGATTGTTGCAAAGGTGAAGCATGCACACAATGTGAATAGTCGGTGGGGGATTGGCAGGATTATGTAACAGAAGCAAACAGAGTCCTAAAGATCTCCAAGATCACGTCCTTCCTACAATTTGTCTGTGCTCTTTGAAACATACACAACACCCAAAAAGTTCACATTTCAGGCATGCACGAAAGAAGCTAAGAACTTTTTTCTCCAAAATGTCTCTTTTTGTTGGGCTTCCACAAGGAGTGCAGTATCCTGGACATTTGCATGTTTCACCTACGGGCCACGTATATAGAAGAACTCTCATGCAACTTCTGTGTCCTCTCCGTAGAGTGTCTGTGGGTGCATTGTTCAGAGTTCAGAGAATTCATATTAATAACTGCATGCCACCAGGCCAAAGGTTTGCATGTTCTTCACACTTCAGATAAACACAAGATGTCCTGTCTGGAACTGTGTAATTTTTTGAAAAGAATCTATTTAAACTCTAATGTTGTTATCTGAAAAGCAAGTGCCTTTTGTGATAGGACAAGAGATATTGGTTTTAAACAAAAAGAGAGTAGATTCAGACTAGATATCAGAAGGACATTTTTTGCATTGAGGTGAAACAGTGACAGAGGTTGGTAGATGCCCCATCCCTTGAAACAGTCAAGGTCAAGTTGAACAGGGGTCGGAGCAACTCAATGTAGTTGATGTCTCTGTGCATTGCAAGGGGTTTGGATTAGATGACATTGAAAGATCCCTTCCAACACAAACTATCCATGATCCTATGATATAGATTCACTTGGATTCGGTTATAGTACTGAAAAACTCCAGATGAAATCAAATTTAACAAGAACATTTATATATTAACAATAAAACATAAATACTGAAAAGTTGGAATTGTTGACAGAATGGTAAAAATCATGAATGCATGAGCTTTTCAGACTGAAATCTTCACTTCAGATACTTGCCATCAATCTGTGAATTTGTATAATGAATAGCACTTGTTTTGTTCTCTTTTCATCTGTCTTCCTGATGAATGTTGTCTTTCTTTTCAAATGCTTTTTTCCTTTTACTCAGGAAACATGAATTTAAACAGGATTGGCATGGACTATATTGTCTGTGTGGGTGTACTGACTTTTAAAACTCCCAGATTACAAAAAAGAAAGGGGGTAGGGGGGATTGTCAGAACCTGTTCAAGGCTAATGATGGATCTTTTCATGGAGGGGAAGGACTGGTATTTATAGCCTTGCGCTCAGAGGGATGCAGATAAAGCAGGTTGTGTTGCTTTACTGTTTCTATCAGGAGGCTACAGTTCTAGCCTATAGCAAAATTCACCAAAATAGTTCCAAAACTGGTAACACGTTTTACAGACTTTCTTTTCTGGACTAGATGTACAGAAGAGGTTAGCAAAATGGTGTTTGGGAACCTAAAGTATTGAAGTTATGTTCAAAGATATTTCAGGATCATTTTAAGACCAGACTTTAGTCTTCAGTAAAGTCTTTGAGGTGAGGCTAAACTTTAATATAACTTGCTAATGTGTTTAGTAGTATTTGAAATCAATTAATGTGTATGATTTTTTTTGTAATGTAGTTTAAATTTTATACATTGTTACTTTTATTACTAGAATATAAATCTGAAATGTATTAAAGTTTTATTGAACTTTTGGCTAAAATGATAGTCTTTATTTGTGATTTTTGGCCCTGCAACGGAAGTACTTTTGGTATTTGGTATTCAACAAATATGAAAGGAAATTGTTAAGTATGTAATATGAACGCATCTCATCAAATAAATTCATCTTGAGCTAAAATGTGATAAAATTATAGATACTAGAAGGAAGGTATATGCTGAATTGCTGCACTTCTTTTTCACATTCTCAAATAATGTCAATACCATTATTATCTGAGCAAGATGAATAGAATGATTTAATATTATTAATTAGAGGATACTTGAAAGCAGTCTTATCCTGTTGGATCATTCCTCAGTTTGAATGGTATTATTTCAGCAGAAAATAATTCAACTTGAGTGATGGCTTCTCCAAACTTACATCTCAATTATACAAATTACCATGGTATTTTATTTTATGCTGATGTAATAGGACATACTTCTTTACTCATTACTAGTTCATGTGTTCCTATCAGAGGATTTGGTACCCTGGCTAGCATTTCATTCTGACCGATTACTTTCTCTTCCAGACTGAATTATGCAGGCTTGCAGAATTTTCTATAATTCTTATGCTAACACTCATCATTGTGATATAGAATATCTACCCGTAACATTCATTTAAAAAACAAATCTGTATATCAAATTGTTCTGATTAGTGTTGTACCGCAGGTCTCAGTCATGATTTTCAATACGCTATATCCTACAGTTCATACTCAAAATCTCATCAGAGAATAGGTAGAAATTTAAAGTGAATGAAGTATTGTCTATTCAACTTCATTTTTATGTGTATTAACTGTACAGCTCTTACAGGATACAATGTCATTTTTTCCTTCTATCTAGTTATAGTTAAAAAGAGAGATTAAGTAAGCTCAAATTTGTAGCCTTTATACGCTAGTATACTTGCAGAGTGCGTTCACTTAGCTAAGTATTTTATTCCAGATTTATTGCAGTATGGAAGAGTCTTGTTACATATTGAGGAACTCAAATTTGTGGAAAAAGAAAATAGAGTAACAGCCACACAGTGAGCTCACTCAATTCATGCTGTAATGATATTACATCATTGTCTGAGACCCCTATTTCTTTGTCACAGGTGTCTAATCAAAGATTTTGAACAGCGTCCTTCAGTCACTCATCTTTTGGAACATCCGTTTATTAAACAGGTACATGATAAAGATATGTCTTTGCAAAAACAGCTGGCTGAGCTCATCCGAGAACAACAGCAGCTAGGCTCCATAGCCAAAACAAGGTACTGTACAATGCTTTGACTGGCAATATTATTAGCAACAAGTGCTGCTTGCCATATGAATGTAAGAGTCGTGTTTTCCCTTTGATACTTTTTAAAGCTAGTTTGATCAACCATAATGCAAGCTTCTTTGCCTTTCTCACACTGAACTCTGTTCTGTACTTGTTATCATTTGGCTCAGTCAGAAAGATGTTAATTTCAGAGTGTTCTGATTTGTGGAAATAAATGTCGGTATGAAACACTGTATCAGTACTTTGGTAACAGATCTTTAAAAATACAACTGTGGGCACTCAAGTGACTACTAGAAAAAGTTAAGAGCAGAAAATTTTGAAGTTTGCTGTTTGATTTAATCCTGAGTAAGAAGGCTATTCATTACTGAAAGTAGTTGTTTTGTCTATAGTTCAAGGATAATTTGAGCCCTGTAATTAATTTTAAAATGTGCTTAAAAAGCAATGCATGTTTATTGGCAGAAGTGGAATCTTTTGAGGCTGATTGTAAATATGTCTTAGTTTAGTTGTTGTCCAGAGGGTGGCAGAATTTCACTGTTTCAAAAGAGAATTAAATGCAAATGAACACACTGTCCCAAGCTCAGCAATCATTCTGTAATATGAAATTCTAGAGTTAGATAAGCTCTGATCCATTATTATAAATAACCACCTGCTAATGTTGATGAAGTATATCAGATGTTATGATTCATAAATCATAAACATATATATACTTGCATGACATAAAACTCTGTGGCTTAAATGCTAAAGACCCATACAAAAATGTACAAGTTAAAAGAAAGGAATGATTGTTAAGTACAGTTGCAAGGTGAAGCTGACTTCTGTGGATGGTGAGTTTTTATTTGTTTGTTTCTGTGGTATGTGTGTGTTTTTTCTTCTTGGTTTCTTTGTTTTTTGGGAAAACATACCTGGAAATGCTCACTGTAGGTAGAAGTTATGTCAGCATTACAGCAGCAGTTACTAGTTCTCTAGTTTCCTAAGATTCCTTCCCTGTATAGCACCTCACAGATCACATTGCCTACAGCTATGGCACAGCTTGCCCAAGAGGTATAAGAATTTTTCCAACTGCTGACCTGATTGCATGTATAGACAGAGTGAAATGTTCCTTGTGCTAAGAGGAGCTCTGAAATGGATTTGTCATGGTATTCCAATACATTCTTCTGAGATTGAGCTCATAATGTGGAGTGACAAAGAACCAAGACCACGACAGCACTTCTTTCCTCAAGTCTTTTCATGTATTAACTGGGTGTGCAGTGACAGACAAACTTCTGTACCTTAGATTTGACTGAACTGTAAGAAGGATTTTGCTTCCCAGCACCCTAGTATAAATCAGTGCTCATCAAAGTGAGTTTAATTCCTTGTCTGTCCAGCCACCACCTAACCCAGCTTAAATATTTTATTTTCATACAAAAAATATTTCTGATTGTTTTACCGTTTTGCTATGGTATCCTTACTTCTTCTGTGAAGCACCAGCCCACTGTGATCAGAGTTGAGAGCATGCTTAGTGAGGACAAAAATCTACTTACTGTTCACCTCTGAAATCTACAACATATGGTTCAGAAAGTTATTCTAAAGATTTTAAACTTGATCAAATTGGTACAAACTTTAATGACATAGCAAAAGTACATCCCTGCAAAATATTAAGTCTGTGGGCCAGACAGTTAATACTGGACTAGAAACATAAGATTATTACAAAAGAAACAACCACCAAGAGCATCTAACTATAATTTTCCCCAGAGGATTGACATAGCCTCATAACAGTAAAAAACTTGGCTCTGTAATAGGGATATTGTACCTTCTAGAAAAATTGTTACCAATTAAAAGCCTTTAAAGCCTCTGTAATGCATCTACAACATAATTTTCAATACAAAATTTGACATGAAGAAGAACATATGACCAGATGGTCCTGTAAAAAATTTACTGGCATTCATCTATAATGATCTGTAGAAGTCATCTGAATGTATAGTCACCACTTCAAAGTAAATAAGGCAAATTCAAATCCGTGTTAGTTAAAACCTTTCTATGACAATATTGAATATGGTGCATGCTTTTTCTGTTTATTGATGTGCCCATGACAGTTACAATGAAATCTATGTTAATTTCCTGATGTTCAGAAATAAAGAAAAATAGATGCCCATTTTTAAGAGTACAGCAACATTACAAATCAATTATTTAAAAGATTAAGTAGGAGAAAATGTTCTCAGAGAACAGGCTGAAAATTTCCAGAAACTGGTAAATCATCAGTATGCTTATGTTAACAACACTTCTTCTTTGAGGGAGCCCAGGGAGTCACTGGTGATGACAGCTGATCAGGAGGTATCTGTGTTTTGTCTCATATGAAAGTCTTCTAGGACAGTGCTTTGGATTTGTGTCTTTTGATTCTGTACTGACTCAGTGCCTGTGGGGTTTTAAATAGGATTCTCTTTCCAGTGGAGCCATGCCAGTTTGCCTATTTTGGTACTTCAGGTCATTGTGCCTGAGAGCAAGCCTGCAGACTTGAAGATCAGTACTAATGACTTGGAGCATGTGAAGGAGAGACATGGAGAGCTGATTTAGCAGGGCATTGATAGTGAAAAGGAGAGAACTGGCTTTTTTCTCCCATTTTCTCTCAACTCCCAGGAACAAACTCATGATGCTGTTTTTATTACAGCTTCAGGGATTGTCAAAAGCCTCCTGAGCTTGAACTTCTACAGTGAGAGAAAAAAAGTAAACCAGCAGAAACAGAGATAACTTTCTACTCTGTTAGTGATTGCAGAGAGGTGCTTCAGGTGATAGCTGAAGTGAAGGGAATGCTTCACATGACCAGGAATTAGCAGGAGAGTGGTAGAAAGAAACAGGCTGGCCCATTTTGGTAGGATCATCTAGGTTGGCCTCTAGGACTCTAGGAGTCACAAATTGAAACATCACCTTATTTTATCAGCTTTTATCAGCTTCTTTGTGTGCAGTATAGCTAGGCTTAACTTCAGTACATTTCTTCTATTATCAGCTTGTTCTGATGAACATACTGCTGTTACTTTTCCATGAAGCAGCTTACTAGAGAATTTTATATTCTGATTTCCTTTAGGTTAAAAATTAATTGTAAAAAGAAAATGTTTATGCTAGTAAAAGACCACTTTTAAAATTAAAAATAATATTAACAATTCATCCTGCTTTTTTACTGAAAAAGATACTCTTCGAAACTTGTTTTCCCTAAATTATTTTCATTGGTGAGATCCAGATATCTTCTATTCTTATGCAAATAGGTGTTTTCAGAAAACACAGCCAAAATACCCCTCTTTCCACACTTGTATTGAGGAAGAAGATTCTTTTTTTCATCTGTTGGCATCTTTTACACTAAAATTCTTGTGTTTTGGCATTTCAGCATTAGCACTCCACTCCTGCATTGCCTATGTCTTACACTCTCATGAGGAAAAACTTGGTGAGAAAGTCTAATGTCACAGCTGTGTAGGGGTGAGCTCTGGGTATTAATCTTTCTTATCCATATCCCTTTTATAAGCTATCATTTGACTGTGTGTGTTTTCTAACAATAACAAAACATAATTGCTAATTTGCATCAATACACTTTCCATTAACAGCTTTGACATAGTAACAACTATATGAAGTTTAATTCTAAGAAATTTATTCAGTGTTAAGTAGTCCACTAGTTCTATTTTTATAAAAGTTCTTCAATCCTTAAAAAATACAGCTTAGTACACCAGAACATTGCTTCATATGTATTCATTCCAGCCATGCTGAATTTTTCTTCCTCATCTATTCTAAAGTCAAGTACAGAATTCCTTTTTAACACATGGATACTGATTTCTAGTTCCTCTTGGGAGTCACAGCAGTCTTATTTCTATAAATATATAGCTGTCTCTAGGTAGGAAGCATTTCTTAAAATCAGAGAGGATGCTTTCACAGGATCTCACTCAGTTTTTTCCTATTTTTGCTTTTTTTAAATTTTACTTTCCACTTCTATAGTCACACAAATGCTGTAAGATGGTTGTTCAAATAGTGTCCTTACTCCTAGTAACATTGTGAAGACAAGAAACGTCATTAATACCTAAAGACTTGTACCTCACGTAGCATAAAATTGGAGAACAGAGGAAAGAAGAAGGAATCTAAGTTACAGCAAGGTGTGCCAACAGAATAAGCAAACATTGGTCAGGAATGAAAAGCAGAACTATAAAAATGTTTTTGTTACAAAAATAATAATTGAGTGTTGATAGACTTGGTGTGTCTGAGTGTGATTAATAATGTATTCTCTAAGTAAAAAAGGGTACACAAGTCAAGCTTACCATAAACTTGATATATTTCAGGGATGGGTTTCTCAAGATGAAGATTTGTATGATTGCTTGTCAGTAAAATACCAAGAATATTTAAGCACCCTCTGAATTTAATGCAAAAGCATAGTAGGGGGTTGTGTTCTGTTCCTTATTCTCACTCTGATTTGCTATGTAATCTCTGTTCTGTCACTTGCCCTCAGTATTTCTCTGTTCTTTTCACTTACAACATGGCTATTAATAGTTTTACTTAATATGTAATACCTATGAGAAAGAGTTTGCTGAGGCAAGAACTTCATCTTGTTCTATAAAGCTGTACTCTACTGTACTGTTAGGTCACTGTAAACTTGGTAATGAAGGGAAACATGTATAATGCCTGGAGCTCTAGCTCCAGCAGTTTTATTTTTATTCTTCCTGCCCTAGAGTCTGGGGAATGCTTTGGGAAGGCTCTAGGCAAAGATATGTTACAAATTATGGCTATTATTAATTGTCAGTTAACATTTTCTTTGTGACGATTATATTTTTATTAAATAATGTTTGAGTGTGTTTGATAATCCATTAACGGAGGTTATGAGAGAGCTGCTCACTTTACAAATACACCTTTTGATCTCTTGAACTTATTCGTGTGGTTGGTTGCTTTTTTGATTCATAGTACAAGAGATTCCAACATACAGGCTGATAACCAGCCTCATTAAGGAGAAAGTCAGAAGAGATTTAGTGTATTTCCTAACATTGC